GTTTAGATGTGGAATAGGTAGGCTTAGAGTAGATAATGGAGGTGAATTTATTAGCCAAAATTTCAGAAATGTTTGCTCATTTAATGGTACACAGATGGAATTCAATGTGCCAAGGAATCCTTCCCAAACAGGTTTGGCTGAGAGAATGAATTGTTCGATCATGGAAATGGCAAGGTGTCTGATTTTACAATATGAATAGACTTCCTACCAGAGCATGGAAAGGAAATCAAACACCAGCTGAATTATGGTTTGGATGTTTGAGGACTTGATTTAGACAAAATTAGATGTTTTGGTAGTGTTGTTTTTTCCCACATTCAGAAGGAAGATCAGCATGGAAAATTGGATCAAAGGAGGAAAATGTTTAATGAAGGGCTATGCTTCAAATGGCTATCAACATTGACTTCGTAATTTTTCAAGAAATTAATCCCATGAAAGTGCCTATTAAATACAATATACCTGAGTTAAAATATATATTAAAAAAAATATACGTCCTTAACGCCCTCCAACCTATTATCTGCCACAAAAAAACTTCAAGAAGACTTGGATAGGATTTGTGACTGGGCGAAAGCTAACAAGTTGAATTTGAATGCAGAAAAGACGAAAGCAATCTTAATAGCATCCAATCACCTCCTTAAAACTGGTCCTAATATTCCAACTCTGTTGATATATGATAATCCCATCAAATTCTATCCCTCCATCCAAAACCTTGGAATGATCTTTGATCAAACATTTTCCTGGAAAAATCATATATCCAACATCTCCCGCCATACCATCTCCACCTTAAAACGTCTAAATAACTCCCGTCACCTATTTCCCCTTGAAACCATAGGCTCCTAGTAACTTCCTTAATTTTCCACCACTTTGACGGCTTTATCCTTCCTACCGTCGTAAGTATTTCCTGACATCCTTCCTCTTTCAAGTCATACAATCCCCCTGTCCTTCATACATCTCCGAGCTCCTTCAATTCAAATCCTCTGTTCGTTCCCGCAATACTCGTTCCCGGTCTTCTCATTTATACATAAGGACTCACCGAACCGCTGCTTTCGACAGATCGTTCATTATCCGATCCTCATTCCTATGGAACTCCATCCCTCCCCACATCCGTCAATCCAAAACCCTTCCTACCTTTAAATCCCGCCTGTTTAATCATTTCTTATCCATCCAGTCCTCATAAAATTGTAAATAGTTATTACTGTAAATATGAATATAAATTATTAGATTGTTCTTCATTATTTTTACTTCATGTTTATTTTCAATTTTTTATTATTAGAAAATAACTTATAATTTCTTTTATTATTTTTATTTTTTATTTTAACTATTTAATTAAAGTATATTCTTGTCTATATATCTCTGAGGCTCCTTAGCCCACATTTTTGTTGTTCTGTATTATTCTAAAGGGACTCGTCCTAGAATAAATAAAGCATTATTATTATTATTATGCATGACGATATGACTTTGAGAAAGATAGATCAAGAAAACTTTGACGATGAAGCTAACAGTCAAGGACCACAGGAAAGTAAACAAACTGAAGCCAAAGAAGAAAAAAGGACCAAAAGGAAACCAGCTTGGCTAAATGATTATGTTACAGGTTTGGAGATTAGTGAAGATAAAGAAGAAAGGTTATATGCATTACTTATTCAATCAGACATTGATATTCCTTCAAGGTATGAAGAAATCGAATCTCGCAGTGACAGAGAACAATGGAAAAAGGATATTGAGGAAGAATTTGATTCATTGAGAGAAAATAATACCTGAGAAGTGTTAAAATCCCTGGATAGTGTATCAGTAATAGACACTAAATGGGTATTTACAAAAAAAGATGTATGTAGTTTAGAGATATACAAAGCCCGTTTAGTCGCTCGATGTTTTCTACAAAACGGTTTAGGTGAACAACGTATTCTCCTGTTGCAAAACTGGAAACATTGTGGGTTTCACTTGCAGTTGCTGTTCAGAAAGGGTTTTCACTTAATCAGATGGATGTAAAAAGTGTTTTTTTATATGGTGAAATTAAAGAAAATGTATTTCTAAACCCCCCACCAGGCATAGTTGTTAACTCAGATTATGTGTTAAAATTAAATAAATCTTTGTATGGACTATAAAAATTGCCAAAATATTGGTATGAAAAATTTAATAGTGTAATGAACACCTAAGGGTTCCATCGTTCTGAAAATGATTATTGTTTATATATGAGAGATGAATTGTATTTATTGTTATACGTAGATGATTTCTTAATTTTTTGTGCTGACTTCGTTGAAATTGAAGCATTAAAAAAATTCTTGTGCTTGAATTTCAAAATGAAGGATTTAGGTTCAAATAAATTAAAATATCTAGGAATAAATATTGACAAAATTGATGATACTGTATTGGTTGATCAATCAAACTATTTAAATGATGTGTTAGGAAAATTTAATACGACTGATTCTAGATCAGTAGAAACTCCAATGAATAACAATTTCATATTAAGGGAGGATATTATTGTTAATCCTGATAAGGAAAAATAGTGTAGGTCATGTATTGGGTATCTACTGTACACCATAATCGGTAATAGACCTGACTTGGCTTTTGCTGTATCTTATTTGAGCAGATTCCAAGAGAAACCCTCTGATGCTTTGTTGGCTATAAAACAGATACTTAGGTATGTGAAGGATACTGTGAACTTAAAATTGAAATACTGCAAGTCGGAATAACCAAATATTTTAGTCGGGTATGTTGATTTTTGAAGATAAATAAAGTACAATTAAAATAGTCAAAAATCCAGAACAGAAACGGGTTAAACATTTAGTTATAAAGTATAATTTTGTTAAACATGAAATTGAAAGTAGCAATATATCGTTTGAGAATTTGCAAACTCAAAAGCAACTGGCAGATGTGTTAACCAAACAAGTGGGACATAAAATATTAAATAGTTTTACAGCTGATATTTCTTTGTTTGATTGCTAAGAACTTTGTCTGGTTCTCCTTTGTGTAAAAGAAATTAAATTAGCGTGTATTTTTGTAATAGTATTTATATTTTTCTATTAATAAATTAAAGTAGTTTGTATGACAATGTTTATGTCATTTTGTACTGTTGTGGATATAACATTGAAGGGGAGTGTTAAAAAACGTTTAAATCATTTTGTATTTTTATAATCCCCATTGAAGAGGAGTGTTGATAAACAATGTTATTTCAGTTAAGCACCTAGTGGTAGCTGTGTGTGAGTTCCGCTAGGTGTGCTGTGTACTGTTTATGTAAATACAGTTGAATCTTAAATCTCATGATGTACACTTCTGTTTTTCTCTAATCCCAATGATCCTTTTAATATCCCTGCTATTTAGTATATAACAACACATTACACTTTATTAACTACAGAATGGTAGGTCCGGAAAGGTCACTATCCAAATTTGGCAGCCTTTGCCGCTTTGCTAGCTTCAACCTAAGGCTGTTATGTACACGTATTCCCTCTAGGAATTTCTAGGATATTGTTCCGACTCTGACCATCCATTAAACTTATCTTTATTGCCATTATCAACCCATAAGTAAACAGTAAACCAAAAATCCTGTACATCTAGGATCATAGATTGCCTCCGAGCTACATCTTAACTATTTTGTATTTATTAACTTTTATGTTTTTCTTCTGAATTCTTGTCTTAAAGCATTATTTACATGATGTATTCACACATAAAGAATAAATTATAGGAACATATGAAACATACATTAATTTTAAACTAATTTGCAATATATATCTTACATATAAACAGCATAGAATAATTATATACATTTTTTTCTATAATTTATGCACAGGAAACAAAAGAAAAGCAGATTGATATCTAAGTAATAAAACAAGCTTTATACATGATTTACAAAAAAAAATTACTGAATAATTTGCATATTTTATATACAACTAACTTAAAAATGGACTGCTTAAATTATTTACATAACATCCAAAAATATTAATAAATTTTATTATAGGAATAAACTGAGCACACGATTTGCATTTAAAAATATAGAGAATTAGAAATAGCTATACTGAGTTAAACTCCTTAAAAGTGCTTTAATAGCTGGTGTGAAACCAACCCCTTGTATTACCATTACTTGGATCAGCTATCAAAAATGTGTTTATTCCTAAGACATAAGCAGCCAGAGACAAGTTATGGAAAACTTTAAAATGTCAAAATCAGGATGAATTAATATATATTGCTGAAAAAATGAATAAATCTCAGGTCTTAAGAATAGCTACTCCAAAAAAAACTAGTTTTTTCAGTGACCTATTAAATATTTTGTTTACTCAAAAAACTCTATTAAACGATTATTCAAATTCCTATCTCATGTATATCAAAAATAATTTATTTATGAACGAATCATCCATTTCTTACACATGGCCCCTAAAAATCATTAGATTTGGCTGAAAAGTTATTATCAGTACACCAAAATGACAAAGGATATTAATAGAGTCCCATTTGCTGATGAAATTGTGAACGCTAATTTCTGGATCAATACACCTACCACCTTAGTAGTCAGTGTGTATATCGAAAAATTTTCTTTCTTCCCTAAATTATTGATTATTAAACCATCTGAGGGATAAATGGAGACTCTACCACTGCTCCCACAATGAGGGTTCTCCTTTAAGTAAATCAAAATGTATCAAACTCACCTTTGGGCGAAAAGAAGAACCTATGTCTACTCCAACTGGTGGGTAGAGCTTATTTTTCCTGAACTAGTGAAACTATTTTTCAAATTTAAACATCCCCTGACATTAGCAGAACTAGATTAGCTTACTTTATAACTGTTTAACATTAATTAACTAAACCTTATTTTTACTAACTTCCAATAAAGGTGTATATTGCAATACATTAATTCTTATCATCTTATTTACTTTTTTTATTTACTTTACTTTATTTATGTCTCTTTGGTATGTACATATTGTATGAATGAATACTGTAGCCCTAATACTTAATGCCTTTCAATGTGGCAGCTTATATTAATACTCAATAAACTTGTTTAAAAAAAATTTACAACTTACCAAGAACGCGATTTACTACTTCGCAATTTTGTTCGATTTCATGAAGCCATCTTTTTACATTAGCAAACGATTCTCCACTGGTAACATCATAAACTACTATCACACCATGAGTGCCTCGATAATAACTAAAAGATGAGAAAAAAATTAATAAATAAACAATGGAACTATCATTAACTAATGTGACAAATTTTATATTAAAATTTTATTTTAGAATTGAAAAATAATAAAATCAAAGGATTTAACAATATACAACAAGATTATTATCTAATAAAGATATAATAAGAACATGAACAAATATTTAAATTTCTAATAATGAACTTACATTTGATCCTTTAATGCTACTTTATTTTTTATTTGCACTCAAAATTTCAACCCCTTAGGCCATTTTCAAGGGGAAAAAAACTTAAAAAAACAAACATCATGGCCTCATTATTAATTATTTTTATATTATATCATTTGTATACCTTACTTCATTCCTTCATATTCACACCTTACTTTCATGAAGAAAAAAAAAAATCATTTGGGCTAATTTGCCTTAGTTTTAATCTTTTATCTAATAATGAGAGACTTACTCATAAGGTTACGTTTATTTACACATTTTAATTTGTCAATATATTACTTTAATAACTATTTAACCTCGCACAAGCTCATTACCGCATATGGGGAGCGTCCCACCGGTCAGGGTCAATGGAAATTCCTTGGAAGTTCCTCCCGGCTAAGTCCGATGGACTCGCTGGCCAACAATGAGAGGGGCCCCCCAGGCTTGCCGGAGTACCCCATTCGGGTCTCATGGTAGAGAATGCTTTAGGGAATACATGGCACAAGTTGAAGAATAAGAATTTAAGTATTAGGACGTGGAACGTAAGAAGTTTGAATTCAGCAGGTGAGTTAAAATCGGTCGCGAATGAGGTTAATGGGTACAAATTGGATTCTCTGGTGGCTCTGCAAGAGATTCACTGGCCAGGAGAGGGCTCGATAAGGGATAAAAAGTACACTATTTGGTACGGAGGAAGCGAGAATCATTGTTTAGGTACCGGGTTTCTAATTAGGTATGGATTGCTACCCGCTTTGAGGGACGTACAATTCTTTAGTGATAGAATTTCGGTAGCTATATTTCAGGGACGTTGGTTTAATTTTGAGTTAATAAACATACATTGTCCGACCGAAGACATTGACGATGAAGTCAAATGGGAATTTTACGATAAAGTCGAATGGGTTTATAATATACTACCGCAAACCTCCATAGAAATAATTGTAGGTGATGCAAACACAAAGGTGAGGACCTGGACATCACCGGATTCGCAAACACGAAATCAAATCGGTCATGTCTTGATACAAACTAGGTGGCCAAGCAGTATGATTAATGTATGGTCTTATCATGGAGCAGAATGTGGGTTGGGTCATGAATTAGTAATTGCGAAACTTCGACAAAAACTTAATATAAAAACGAGAAAAGAAAACCATTTCGAGAATTTTAATTTGAAAAAATTAAAAAAATCCATCAATTAGAACTCAATTCGAGCTAGATGTTAGAATAGGTTTGAAGCTTTGGAACTTTCTGAAGAGAACCAAGAGAATATTGAAAAGTTATGGGTAGGGATCAGAGATAATATTAAAGCGGTCGGTAACTCGTGTCTAGGAAAAATGGAAAATAAGAATAACAAACCGTAATTTGATGAGGATTGCTTAAACATGTGCAAAAAAAGACAAGCCACTAAATTAAAAGCTCTAAATAATCCTAGCGAAGACGATCTGAAATACTTCCGAACCTCTAAAAATGAAACGACGAAATTGCTCAAAAATAAAAACAGGGAATATCTTAAAAATATCGTATATAAAAATATTTTAAAAAAAAAAATAAAAATTGTAAATAAAGTAAGAGACATGTACAAAGATATAAACATATCACGTAAATGTTTATGGCCCGTCACGTCTGGAATTAGGGATGAAAATAACAATATTCTAACCAATCCGGTAGACATATTAAATAATTTTAAGAACCACTTTGACAGTAGTTTAAATACGGGTAATTATGTGTCCTGAGTACCAGAGAGCTGAACCATTAAAAGAAGAACCGAGTAAAGAGGAAGTTGAAGAAGCTATCGGAAAATTAAAATCTTATAAAGCAGCAAGAACTAAAAAACCTATAAAGGAAGGAGATGGTCCGGGGTGGCGGTCATAAATAGGCTAAATAGTGGTAAAAATAGTGGTTTGGCGTACGTATTGGCGGCCCCATCGCCCAGCCATAAGGCTGCTACCAGCCACTGGTCCTCCAGGTTGGGGGAAACACTCACACTACATGCACACAGTACTAAATAACAGCACACTACAACATCCTTCATTACAGACAAAGGTCAATCACAGTACACACCCCAGGGTCACCTCCCCTGGGTAGCTGCCTCGGATAGGGGAGTGTGTTAGGGTGCTCATAGGAGGCAGCCCCTCCACCTGACTCAGGAGCAGTGGGTCGATAACCCATTCTCCTAAAACTTAAATATCACGAAACCTATACAAAGCACAGAAGCCGGACTGATTTTAAGGAATAGACCAAGAAACCGCCATCATGACTTAAGACTAGCTTATTGGAACATTTCATCCTTACAAAGACCAGGAGCCCTTCGGGCGCTCCTTGCAGAACTTGACATATACCGCGTGGACATTGCAGCAATCCAAGAGGTACACTGGCTCGGATGTGGCTCGCTATAAAAGAGATTCCACACAGTATATTATAATTGCCATGAAAGCAAACAAGCCTTTGGCACAGGATTTATAGGGCACACCAGCTTGTCCTTAAGTTCAAGCCTATCTCTCCCCGACTGTGTTATATGTGTGTCAAGGGAAGATTCTTCAATGTATCTATTATAAACTGTCATGCACCAACTGAAGTCTCATCAGACAAGGATAAGGATATCTTCTACGAATCATTGGCAAGCACTTTCAGGAACTGCCCCGAAAATGATAACGAGATCATTCTTGGTGATCTTAATGCCCAAATTGGTCAGGAAACTATTTATCGTCCAACAACAGGAGCCTTCAGTCTACATGAAAGAAAGAATGAGAATGGTCAAAGGCTCATAGACTTTGCTGCAGCACAAGGTCTAGTCATTGGCAGCACATTGTTTCCTGGCAAGAACATCCACAAAGCCACTTGGAGATCGCCAAATGGGGCAGTCACGAACCAAATAGACCACATTTTAATTACCTCACGCCACAGATCTAACCTTATTGGAGTTAGATTCTACAGAGGCGCAAACATCGACTTGGACCATTTCGTGAGTATCGCCAGGATCCGCCCTTGAATATCAACAAAAAGATATGTAGCAGCTGGCCTGGCCCAACAGAAATATGATGTATCCAAACTAAAAGACATGAAGCAGTGCATAACATACCAGCAACGATTGGAAGTTAAACTCACGGAGGAGTTGAGAGAGAGAGAGCCGAGACAGTGGAAGATCAGTGGGCAGGAATAGCCAAAGCTCATAAAGATACAGCAAAGAAGACGCTCAGACCTCAAACAAGGAAGGCCAGGACACCGTGGTTCGACGATGACTGCCTAGAATGCACAACTCGGAAGAACAAGGCATATAAGAAGATGATTCAGCATAACACGTGGCGATCACAGGAAGAGTATAGAAACAGGAGAAGGGAGGAAAAGAAGATCCACCGCATAAAGAAAAGAACATGGGAGAACAAAAGAATGGAGGACGTTGAGAGCCACAGAACTCTACATGAAAGTAGGCTATTCTTCCAGAAGGTGAATGAAGGGAGGTCGGTTTTTAAACCGAGAGTCACCTCCGGCAAGGATTCAGATGGAAATCTCCTGACGGAAAAGGGAGAGATCCTGGAGAGATGGAGGCAGTACTTTGGAAAAGTCCTTCACCAAGACGATGCAGATGAGGAAGCCAGTATCATCTCAAGGGCAGAAGACATCTCAAACGATGCAGAACCACCAGACCACGATGAAGTCGAGGCGGCTGTTAAGAAGCTAAAGAATAACAAAGCCTCGGGACTAGATGGCATACAAGCAGAGATCATTCGCTACGGTGGCGAGGGACTTATGAAGGAACTCCACAACCTCATCCTTACAATATGGGAAGAAGAAAGGATGGCACAAGTTAGGAAACAAGGAGTTATTTGCCCACTTCATAAGAAGGGTGACCAAACAGAATGCGACAACTACAGGGGTATTGTCCTCCTTTCGAGTGCCTACAAGGTGATGTCAAATATCCTTATATAGATAGACTCACCCCCCATGCTGAAAGAGAGATAGGGAACTACCAGACTGGATTCAGAAGGGGTAGGTCAACCACGGACCAGATCTTCTCCATGAGAATGATTCTGGAAAAAACCAAGGAATACAGGATGGTTACGCACCATCTCTTTCTGGATTTCAAGTCTGCATACGATAGCGTAACCCGACCTGAACTCTACCAGGCGCTAGAAGAAATAAGGATACCCAGGAAGCTGATTCGTCTGGTGAGAAAGATCATGTTGGGGTCGAACAGCGTGGTTAGTATCGGATCTGACGTCTCTGAACCTATTGCCACAAACATCGGCGTGAGACAGGGAGATGCCCTTGCATGCCTTCTCTTTAATTTGGTGGTGGAACGAGCAGAACGCAGATCAAGGATCCAAACACGGGCCACCATATTCAACAGTGTGATCCAGGTGCTGGGGTATGCAGATGACTTTGACATAGCTGCCAGATCTGAGTATGCTCTAAAAGAAGCATTCCTGGCTCTAGAACAAGAAACCAAAATTCTTGGTAATGGAGAGTGGTGAAAAAATATAAATAATAATTTCAGAAAACAAATGTTATTTAATGTAAATCACATGTTTCCAAGGAAATTAAATGCAATTTTTTTACTAAATGTAAACTTTTATCTAAATAACTTTTCCAATGTTTAAGATTGCATTTAATGCTTTAACTCACCCTAATAAATACAAGAAACTTGTACCTTACAATAATAAAAACCAAACTATGCCTAAGGAACACACAAAAATGATGCAAGACCATTCACAATGGGGCAGGGCAGTCCCACGATTCCACACAATCAAAATGATGTAAACTGGAAATTAGGCATTTACAGTTACGTTAATATAAAAGTTTTCATTATAATTTATACAATTAACACACAAAAAAAAAGGTTCACCAAGTTTAAAACTAAAAGAACAAAATTAAAAATGTTGATTAGATATGATTTTTATTTTTTTAATTATGAGTTCCAAACCATGTTCAAGACACTGCCTCTCTTTGATGTCTCCTAGGGTTCATCTCTGTCCCATACTATATTTGCTATTTATATCAATGACCTTTCCCTTCTGATCCAGGTTGATGATAAATAAGTAAAATTGAATAAATAAATAAATGATAATAAATATCCGTAATCAATCTCTAATTACCATATATGTGATGATGAATGATCCCAAGGGAGTCCAGAATAATGCTCTTGGCTAACACTGCAAGCTCCCCAACATCAACACCTAGTTCCTCGAAGAAGCTCCTTGTTCTTTTAGGAATCGTTCCGCGAGACCCAAACCAGAGGCCTCTCACGGTGAACTCGCAGAATTTCTCTTTTAGGAAAGGGATGCATTTATCGTAGATTTCCTTCTTTTCTTTTTCTACTTCACTGGCCTGATCAAGGTCATTTCTCTAATAGCAAACAGTTGGATCTAAGACCAGTGCTGCCTTTACATTGGGTAATGCAACTATACCCGCATATCTCGTTGACCCATCACAATCGATACAATAAACCTCGCCAAAGCAAGTGAATTAACTTTTCCTAAGGAGCCTCATCAACTCAAATTTGACCCTATGGTTCAGGCATGTTATGAGGAGGGAGTTGTTGGGGCATTTTCCCAGCACATGGGCTGGTGTTTCAGACTCTCTGCCGCATTTGCGATGGAGGGACCCAACTTCCTTCGACAGTCCACTGGCTCCTGGTACTCCACGCAACAGTGCATAATTGATATTAAGTTTCAAGGCATTGGACCATTCTGACCTCGAAAGTACTTGCTTCTGGCATATATATTTATTAGCTTTCAGAGTCTCTTTGAAATTCCTAACTCCAACGCCTTGCCACCTGCAACTGGCCCATTCTTCAAAAGAATTCTCTCTCAGTGACTGTCTTACGAGTTCTCACGCTTCAGTAGCCCTGATCAACACCCAGTCTCTTCGCACATTCGGCAATTTCGGTGTTATAATCAAATATAGACTGGAACAGGGCATCCGGTACACTAAACAGTTGCTAGGCAACGGACCAATGTTGGAAAGGAACCTCCCATTGGCAGCGGATCAGTCCCAATCCTCGATACCTCATTGGAGCACATAACATCACCAATGATGGATTAGCGGGGAGCCCTATGATGGCCTTGATACTCCTGCGGATATTTACATCAATCCCCTCCAATAACGCAGAACGTATATTTGTAGGGGGCACCGTATAGGTAGGGAAGTCCCGGGAACACATATTGATTGACAACATTGATCTTTTGCTCCAGTTTAAGAAGGCAAGAGCTCACCAGTTTATCCAAGTTGTCATTAAATTTTTTCAACTTTTCCTCATTCATCACTAGCTCTCCTGAGAACGTGCTTCCTAAATATTTTACAGTATCATCAGCCTTTGATGTGTGGATCTCCCACATTTCCATTTGATCAAAAATGTTAAATAGAAGTATATAAACAAATAAACAATCACATAAAAAGTTGACTTACGTTGAGGTGATTGTTCGAAATCGTTCCTGTCCTGCAGTATCCCATATCTGGAGCTTGACTCTTTCACCATTTAATTCAATAGTACGAATCTTGAAATCAACTCCAATAGTAGTAATATAATTTCCAGTAAATGTGTTATCAGCAAACCGAAGTAAAAGGGAACTTTTCCCAACACCTAAAAAAGTGGTTACAGATTAAAAATAAAACAATAATGGCAAATCATTAGGTAACAATGAATAAGAGAATATATTTATAGATGTAACCTATCAAATTTTGATAAAATTAAATTTTTAAAAGTTGGGTAAAATTGTAAATATTATACTTCTATAAATCTATGAGCCTTTGATGAAAAATAATTTATTCAGATGAATAAACATGTAACATGTAATATAAATATTGAGAAATTGAACATAACACTAGATACATAAAAATGATATATAAATTGATGAAGTATAAAGAAACAGTAACTAAGCAGGGTTTTATAAAATAATGGTAGTAAAATTAGTATTAAAAAAACACTTTATTCAGAAATATTACAATTTGTCACAGTTAAGGACACTTATAATAGAGTTCAGAGATTGCATTCATACCGTATATACAAAAATATAAATAAATAAAGTAATAACAAAAGAATAAGAAGAAAGAACAAAAGAGTAAAGAAAAAAAAAATAATATATATACACATAAGTAAATAAAAATAGAATAAAAGTAAAACAAACACCTTATATAAAACATACATTATTTACAATTTGCCAGGTGATCTCCGAACCAATCCTGTCCCCTCCACATGTGGAGGGAAAAGGGAGGCCTAGGAGATCCCTACGCTTCTCCCTCAGCCACTACACTGGTATTTTAAACCAGCGGAGGATGAGTAAGAGCGCTACAGCCACAGACACTCATGACTTGAGTGGAGAATCTGGCCATTGCTAGAACTCCAAAATATCCATATTTACAAAAGGTCTCGTGGCCACTGCCGCTTTAACCTACGAAGGGGATTGTAGGGATGGGTGGTGCTTGATAGGGATTGTACAACGGGATTTGGGTGATGAGAAAGGTTCTGGTGAAATTTGGAAAATTTGGCTGGGATAAGATCAAGAATAAATGGGATATTAAGGTCATGATGTAGGGTTTTATTGGTTACATAGAAGGGAGCATTGACTATTGTACGGAGGACTTTAGACTGAAAGGATTGAATGCGTTTGATGTTAGAAAATTTGGCTGTTCCCCATAGTTCTAGTCCGTAAGTCCAGATGGGTTTCAGTATTGTCTTGTAGATCAGGTAGTAAAATTAGGATAGATAAGATAACAGTAACAAAGTTAGAGACTTATGAAATAATGGGACAAACTTAAGAAGTTATAAAATAACAGTAATAAATAGATGAAGTGAACAATAAAATAACGGTAACAACTTAATGAAATTAACAAAGCAATAAAATATAAAATAATGGTTTGATATGTACAATTAAATTGGTTAAGTGATGGTATATAAAATATTGATAACAAAGTTAAGAAGTTATGAAATAACGGAACAAACTTGGGAAGTTATAAATTAAAGGTAATAAAGTGATGAAGTAAACGACAATAAAATAACGGTAACAACTTAATGAATCCTACAGCACAGGGACAGGAACTCATAATTATTATTTCTTGTAAACATCTGTTAATCATGATGGCGGGCAACGCCTATTTTGCACACACGTTAGCCCGCTGGGCCACCCCGCCCCATATTTAAATTGAGTTGGAGATTGAGAAGTGCATATTGACACTACAGCCCTGGAGCTATGGCAAAAAGATGTCATATTTCATATCTATTTTTAATTAAATAATAGTCAGTTACCTCATACCCCTGGATTTCAAGTCAAAAAATTGAATTTATAATTCAACAAGTTTACTTTTTATGGTTTTTTGCTTATGTCAATGAGACTATGTATTCTATCTAAAACAATGACATATGTGAAATTAAAGCTGACAACATTTTCAATGCAAATGGTTATATTAGTTTTTTCGCTATATTCTATCGTTTTCGTAATATCCGTCCTCGTAATTCACTAATTTCGAAAAGAAATTGTTTCTCCTTGCATTTTTATCATTATTTGACATATCAACTCTTTATCTTTTCATTTTACAAAAAAGTTATGACGAAGAAAGCTGTTTAATATTAAATTTTCTTTAAGAATATACATTACTTTGCTATCTTATCTTCAACCATTCAAAGGCTAGAACAATAACATAATCATTAAACTCCAAAACTATGAAGAAACACTAACTTTTCGCAATTTTCGATATTACACAGCTCTTAATCTGTATAAGACAACAACATTTTCAATACATACATTAGCTTACATAATAACTGTAATATACACCTTAAGTGAAAGTTGTTAAAAAAAAAATAGTTTAATAAATTAATGTAACAGTTAAAAGACAAGCTAATCTAGTTCCATTAGTTCAGGGAAAAGAATATAGCTGCTCAGTTGTTTCCCCAAAAAGGAAAATCCCAAAGAGGGGTTGGGACAAATAGTCCAGGATCTATCGAAGATTTAACCACGTGTTCAGCGGCAGAAGGTTTGAAAATTGAAAACAGTAACGATTACGACACTAATGACAAAACCTATTGAGTCAGATGGGTAACTGGAAGCATTTGGCTGAGGTACAATTTCAAAAATCGCAAAAACTGCCCAAAATTACGTGATTAGCAGCAGGCAAAAAACAATTGGAGCAATTTCAGACCACTTTGTAGGTAACAGACTTAATAAAGTCAGACAAAATTTTGGAAGCTTTATACGAATCTGACAACATTAAAAATCTCAAAAAGCCCCAGAAATTATGTGGTCAGCAGCAGGAAAAAATCTGTTAGAATACTTTCAGAGCACAGTAATTATATTAATGCTATTTTATAAAATCTGAATTATTTTTCTGACAGCTTTTCACGAATCTGATATGCAAATTTGAAAAATTTACCATCAACCATGAAAAAATATGCGATCAACATCGAGCAAAAAATGGTTGGAATAGTTTTATACCACTTAGTAGGTAACTAATTCGATAAAATCTGACATTTTGGAAACGTTTCACGAATTTGAGAAGCAAATAGTTTCAGACTATTTTGTAAGAATATGATTTAATAATATCTGACCAATATTTAGAAACTTTTCGGGATCGTAGCACTTATTACTGGCGGGGCAGCATAACGCAAAATTAGGATCCGTTGGTCCAAGAGTTTTCCCTGTTGCCTATTTCATCCTCTCTATTAGGTGTATGAAAAATTATGGTCAAGCTGATAAACCAAAATCCCAAATTAATGACACACAAATCCATGTTATTATTTATCCATTAACTATGTTGTGTTAAGAAAATGTAGTTTTTATTTTATATTTCATAAAATGCTAGTTATCTATTTATATATTGAATATGATATAGTTATCTATATCATCGACTGATTACCAGCATCTAAAGAAATAAGTGTATACGCACGTAATCATGTCGGTAATGTACCAGTTTATGTACACTAGGTTGTATAAAATAATCAATATAGAAACAAAAGAGATGACGTTTATACTAACCAAAACATGACGTTTATATTAACAAAAACGACCTTAACAGTTCTATCACATTACCAATTTATTATAAATTTGTTTATAAAGATTACTAGAAGTAAGGTGAAAAAATCTAAGTTGTTCTCGTCATCTGCAGAATCATGACCGTTTCAATGCCATATTTCGTTTAATCCTCAGTTTTTATGTTATTGAAGTTTTTTATTTCCACTGGCAATAGAAACCCATCCATGGCCTCATAAAACTACACAAAACTGACAATAGATTAAGACCCATAATAAACAATATAGATGGATCAACTGAAGCTCTCTCTAAATTCCTAAACCCATCCCTCAACACTCTTAATAATAACAATAACTTCGATGTCAAAAATGCTATGGGATTAAAAGGAATACATAAAAATATCCAACATAATATAAAAAGGGTACTTTTTGTCTAGGGGGCCGCTACTGACTATCTGCCAATGTTTATAACCTGAACACTGGTAACTCCTCTAACGCAGTGAAAAGCCTTCTCCTACTTCATATCTTCGTATTATTGTATTAAATTCGTATTATTGAAAGTGTAAACAGATAAAAAAACAAATGTAATAACAAAAAAAATACTTTTATTTGACGACACATATATTAATGAAATAATAAAAAACACTTTAAGAAGATATGTACATATAACACATCAAAATGAAATAATAAAAAAAAACACATTTACATAGAAAAAAAAATATAAAACATAAAATCTGTTTTATAAAAAGATAAAACATTCATCTGTTTCTCGGCATACTCCACCAAACATCCACTGCTGAGGTAAAACTCTCCCCACATAATTTTTTCGTTTAGAAAAAAGACTTTCGTCTACTTTAACCACTTTGCCAGGTCCTCCAATTTTTTTTCTTGGCCTGTATAACATGTCATGTGCACAAACCTCTCTTATACATTTGTTCCACGTTACCATAGCTCCGTAGGATAGTTTCAGCTGCTCTTTGCCCCACTTCATCGCAGTCAAGCTATGGACCACCCATAAATCAAATTTAAAGCTGTTAAAAACGAAATCCTCGAGCCCTCCAATCATGTTGCTTTCCTTATTGAAAGTTTTGTGTCATAAACCCTATGAAAGCATCTCCATTTGGCCTTCCTGGTTAACTTCATTCGATGACCTCGTTCACACAATTTCACGTCGGCAAGTATCCCAACATTTTGAAAATATTGAATTGCCTGTTCTTCTGAAGGCGGCAAATCCCATATTCTAAGATCCGTAATATGACGAAAATAAACGGAAAAAAAAGAAAAATAAACACAAAGAGGTCACAAACTAAAAAAAAATGTAAAATAAACACAAACGGGTCAAAAGTAAAGAATTTAATAAGTTAACGTAATAAGGGAATAACTGAAAACAATGCAATAACTCAAAGATTTGGCGGGATAAGAAGAGGGAGGTTATGTGACGTGACGTTAGATAACATAGATAAGAAGTGAGGTTTCAGTCCGGCCCGCTAGACAAAAAGTACCCATAAAAGACATAGAAATTATAAGTTTAGACGCTGAATCACTTTTTAATAATATCCCATTAAATGAGAGTATAAAAATTATAGAGGACAACTGGGATAGCGTTAAAAGTGAAAACAAAA